ATGATTTTATTATTGGTATTTATTGCAGAGGTGCAATTTTTTAATGGACCTATTTTGAATGAAGTAACTTTTCATACATTTTGGTGATTTTTTATTATAGAGCCAATGCAAATAATGCTTAGTTTGAATTTTGTCTGGGAACATTTTGTTTTGCTCTAAAGTCTATTGTGTAGTGTTTTCTTTTGCTTAATTTGATGGAATGGTTGTGATGGTGAGATAGTGGCAAATGGTTGTGTTCAAAAAATACTGTATAAAGTTCTGACACAGTTGATTCTTATGCTATGAATGAGAAGAATATACAAATGAAACATTGATTTTGATGATTGCTCATCAATGTTTGTATGCATATTTTTGTACATGGTGCAGCTCAATTCTAGAATATTTCGTGTATTTAGAACTAGAAAGACAGGCCCGTATAGTCGTCCTGAAAAATGTATTAGGTCCGAGAGAAGGTTGAGAATTAGAAGAAGTAGAAAGTGATTAAGCATAATATTATATTGTGAATTCAATAGTTTTAAACTGCACTTATCGTCAGATGATTATGTAATAGGAAAATAAAGGGTTGTTATCACTGTGGGCATTTTGGGGGATATGTTGGGTGTTTGGTTCTGTCATTGCAGTAATCATAGTACATATAATTGCGCTTTATGACTTGATGTCTTCTTTCTTGGTCGGGAGACAGTTGCCAGTAATTCTTTCCATTCCACTAGAACTTGGAAGAATTGCATGATTTTTTGTGAGAGCTGTCATAAGGGCATCCGTCAATGGCAAAGCCCCGGAAGTGACTTATAAACGGTGCATGAGCCCAAATGATTTTAGTTTTTCCACCATTCGTGGTCCAACTATCTCCGTCCCATATAGTTGCCATTAGTTGCATTGGTTGTGTTAGGAAGCCAACTCCATCGCGTCTGTTGTTCTTGAAAACTCGAATGGAATATTCATCAACAAAATAAGTTAGAACTCAACAGATTGTGATTTAAGGAGTGTGATATCATTTTCAATTTCGATGTTTTTGTGTTTTCAAAAACAAAAATAATGGAACGTTTGAAAATATCAAAATAAATGAATAAATAAATTTCATCTTTGTGTAGACATATTTAATAGACAACTTGAAAATGCTTCCTTGAAACAGGGTATTTTCAATTTTCATATATAATGATTTTATTTCTTTTGAAAATAGATAGCTTTCAGAAGCAGTTTGTGGAATAAGTTTATTTTTCAAATTGGAATGCGTTTAGGTAGTTGCCTTACACTATTTGATGTTGGTTCCATAGGATTTTGTAAGTATGGAAGTCCGCGGTTGGATCAAACCATACATGGATCCTCTGCTCTCTACCCATTTTTCCTTTTAAAAAGACATTCGTTGGACTCCGATCGGCTTCCCTTTTCTGTTGCCCAAGAACTCAAAATTCAATTCACTATCTTCTGATTTCAACTGCCAAAAGAAAGAAAAAAAAGGATTTACATTATGTTATCAGTGACACATTTTTAGCAGGAGTTTCATGCACTGGATCGGCTTTTTTTTTTTTGTCAGTGATAACCTATACCAAAGAGCACGAATATATATGTAAATGTAAACTTACATAGAAGGCTGTTACGATTCCTCCGGAGTCATTGGCTGGTAGCTTAATGTTATTATGGAAGAACCCGAAAGTATAATTCAACTTGGATTTAATTCCAGATCCTGGTTGGTGAACAAACATCATTGTCACAAAGAATAAATCTTAGCTCTATATGTTATAGCTTGGTTAACAGCTAAAATTTGAACACACTTTCGAAATGTGCTATGAACTAAGACACAATCTATTTGAAACAAGTTGATGAGCTTTGCTCTTCCATTATTTGTTTGTTTGTTTGTTTGTTTTTTCTTCGCATTTTAATTACAACATGGAATATTTTGGTGATTGTACACTTAGAAAAGCTTGAAAATAGATGTGTTATTCTATAATTTTTCTTTTTGGATGATTATTCAGTAGTCCTAGAGTATTCTATAATTTTCCATTTTTTTGATAGAATGTATATTTGGGGAAAGATATGGAGATTATGAATGAGATAAATGGAAAGTGAAAAATTTAGTAAATTCAGTTTACATGGCACCTGATATGTAATTTCAATAATAAGGAAATACCGCTATGTAATAAATTGGACTTATCAGATAATTTTAACGAGTGACAAAAGGTGGGGTAAGAGACGACCACTGGATTCATCGAGAGAGAGCCCGATTTCTCTGCCTTGATGAAATGGCAAGATATGTTGAGCCTGATTTCTCTGCCTTGATACATGTATAAGACTTGATCTGTGCAAAGTAAATTTTTGTAGCACATATAAAAGGCTCTGATCTATCCAAATTGATGATCATGATGAAGAGGTTGAAGAGTGTGGCAAAGAGGTCAAAAAAGTACTTGGAAGAGGCACATACAACTCTGTTTTATTTTTAATTTTTTGATTTTTTTTTTTTATGATGATGATGAACAGATATGATTTGGTGATTATGTTGTTGTTAATTAATAGATAGGATTAGGTACGTGTTTGGGTATGATTTGGATTGGTATTTGTGTTTCCAAACTGGTGAGCAACTTTGTGTTTGTGTTACGAAGGTAAGAATGAAAGGAGATGTGAAGTTGCTAAAAAATTAGTAGAGAAACTTTATCGAAATATTTAGGTGGGTTGAAAGAGCAGTTTTTTATTTTTTTTTTGGACTCATTTTGTAGTATGGTATACAAGCTGATTCTTGGGTTTGAAATAATAATTGATCCTCATAAAATGGTTATCAAATGGTTTTTAAGATATTCTTAAGTGATTTTTCAAATGGTTTTCAATGTTTCATTGTGTTGGATTTGTGTTATTATTATTATTATTTTTATATATTTTTGTTCATTAGGTTGTTTGAAATAATAATTGATTCTCATGAAATGGTTTTCAAATGGTTTTTAAGATATTCTTAAGTGATTTTTCAAATGATTTTCAATATTTCATTGTGTTGAATTTGTGTTATTATTATTATTATTATTTTTATATATTTTTGTTGATTAGGTTGTGTTTCTAAGATTTCGGTTTCGATTTGTGTTTGTGTTTCTAATACTTATGTTTCTAAGATTTCTATTTGGTTTTGTGTGATTAGGTATGCATTCAATGGAACCACAGAAAGAGTTGGAAACAAAGCTTAAGAGACATAAAGAATTGGAACTGATATGTATTTGTTTTTCTTTTTTGGTTTGTGTGATTTGGTTTTGTTTTTCAAATGGTTTTCAATGTTTCATTCTGTTGAACTTATTTATGCATCTTTCAATTTATATGGGTTGGTGTTAAGTTATGTTATGTATTTGGGTTGGTGTTTCTAAACCTTAAACTGATATGTATTTGTTTTTCTTTTTTGTGTTGTCAGGCGAGGGTCTTGACATTAGTTTGTGGGCGCTATTGACATTGGTTGGGGTCTCAACATTTTCTTTTTTATTTTTATTTTTTCAACCTGCATGTCTCTCACGGGTCATTATTTTAGTTTCATTTTATTTTATTTCTATAACCCAATTTAAACTTTCACTCATAATTCATGGACTCATCCTTGTTGAAGACATGGTGAAGAAATTGAAAAGAAATAGAGTAAGAAAAGAGATAGTGGTCAGTTTTCTTAGTTGTGCTGCGCATTGAAATGCTTGGCCACTATCATATCTTTATTTATTTTATGTGCTATTTAAATTGTGTTTATATATATATTTTTTTTCCAATAAGAATGCAAAATGTGTTGATATATTATTATTTTTTTCAATAGGAATGCAAAAAAAATATGTGAAAGATAGACCCCGCAAAAGATTGATGGCTACTTCTTCCTGTCGACAAATTGCTTGGATTGTTAATGGTATTTATTTATTATTTATTATTTAGTAAAATACGTAAAAGATCTCAGATTGTTTAGATTGAAAACATGCAAATAGTTTAGATTGAAAATAAATCAGAAATTTAATATTTAAATTTATAAAATTAAAAACTCAATAGTTTATTTTGTTACAAGTATTAAATTTTAAGTTTTTTTTTTTTTTTTGATAATTTTTCCTAAGTTTTAATGATACCTACAATTATTCAAACAAAATTGACTTATGTGTGGTGACAGCATACACTGTTTCTAATATATTCATGTTCCCCATGATTAATTAAATGTTAAGGATGCATTAAATTAATTAATTAATTAATATTACACGTAAAAATTATAACTACATTTTAATCTCAACATTATTTACACCGAACATTATTTACGCCGTGCATTCAGGCACGGGCATACGCTAGTTCATAAATAAAGAGAATAAAACGATATTCGCTAATAATTAAAAGAGCATTAATTTAATTGACTTTTTAAAATTAAATTCCTTAAATAAACGTGATATTATTTGCTAATATACGAAGCAAACACGATGTGTTTTCAATTCTCTCTAATCACTTTAAATATATATATATATATATATCATAATTATCAGATCAAATTATAAATTACACCCCACCTCTAGTTTGTAAAGAAAAACTTTATACTGGTGGTGTTGTCACAAATTTAAACCATTTCTGAAAAAAGGCAAACCAAACAAGTTTTCGTACTTTTTATCTCAAAAACTACTCTACAAACACAAACCAAACAAGCCCGATGTGTTTTCAATTCTCTCTAATCACTTTAAATATATATATATATATATATCATAATTATCAGATCAAATTATAAATTACACCCCACCTCTAGTTTGTAAAGAAAAACTTTATACTGGTGGTGTTGTCACAAATTTTTTTCGCCAAGCCGTGATAAGTGCATATAAACTTTAATTCTCTCAAACTTCTCCAAAAAACTATGATAACTATCAAATCAAATTACAAATTTCCCAAACCACACACCTCTAGTTACTTTTATGCAAGCCAATTCACTACACAAAGTCCTGTGAAATATTTTTAATTACTTATTGCCCAACCCCCCCAAAAACCCCCCCCCTAAAAAAAAAAAAAAAAAAAAAAAAAAAACTATGAATCATAGCCACCACCATATAATATTGTCCATATAATCTGGCAGTGGCAAAGACATGCAACTAAGATGGACTTATAATTATTACATGGAACCAAACAAGCCTTTCCAGCAGGCAAAACAAAACAAAACCTGAAACAGGTGTCCAAACAACCTCATAGCTCCGACAGACGTGGAGGAGGAAGCACCGTTGCAGTAGTTAAAACCGTACCAAACATCGTTGGGAATGGAAGTTTGGTAGTAAAAGGTAACAGAGCCAGTGTAATAACCGTAGACCTCTACGGTATCAGGTATCCAACCATCGTATCCACTCCTGTACAGGTACAAATAACACACCTCGTACAGACACGGCCCTGTTATCTCGTACGTGTCCACCGAACACCGCTCGAACGCCCCCGATGATGGATCATCTAGCCTCGCTGCATATACCTACATAATAACAATAATAATAATTATCACTCCCTCCGTCCCAAAATATTAGTCGCTTATTCCATTTTTTATTGTCCCAAAATATTAGTCCCTCTTCAAAAATCAAGTACAAAAATAATGTAAATTTTCTATTTTGCCCTTCTTTTAAATTAATCAACAATATAAAAAGTACAATTATGGCATTGATATTCCCAAAAAATGTACTATCAAAAGGATAATTTTGGAAAATTAATTTTTTTCAAATACAATAATTGTACTATCAAAAAAAATTAGATTCCCCAAAAAGGACCATTATTTTGGGACGGATGAAGTATTATTTATTAAAATTAAAATGTTAAATTACATTTTGTCCTCTTTTTATGTTTGATATATATTATTTTGGCTCTTAATTTTTTTTTCCTTTCTATTTTTAGCCTTTTATGTTTTTTCTAATTTACTTTTGAAATTAACTTATGCTCAAAATGTCATGTTAACTGTCATATAACATAAAAAAAATATATATTATTATATTAAAATTTGAGTTTGTGTAAAAAGTGTTAAAAAATAAAATATTTTTACATTACGTGGTTATTAATATATCATTTTCTACATAATTTTAGACATGAGTTAGTTTTTGAAGTAAATTAAGAAAAACTTAAAACATAAGGTTAGTTTGAAAAGTTGGTTAAAAAATGACTTTGACTTTTTTTTTTGAAAAAAACATGTAAAAAATTATTAAATATACATAAAATATTTAAAATAACATTTTTTTATAGAGTTTAATTGAATTTAATGACTAAAATATCTTCTTCTTTTTTTACCGATTTTACTTAACAAAAATAGTCAAAAGATTTAGATTAAAAATAAATCAAAATTTATGACATAAATTGATAAAATTAAAAATTAAAAATTAGTTTTACTATTAGGTTCAAGTTGTTTTTGTAATTTTTCTAATATTAGTTACATATAATAAAATAATTTTATATTACATAACAGTCAATGTGTTGTTTTTTATATAATTTTAAATATAAATTAAGAAAAATTTTAAACAAGCGAGGCCGAAGTGAAAGAAAAAACTACAAAGCCCAAAGCAAAAAAAACCAAACTTCAAAAGGCAAAGTATAATTTATATCCTAATTAAAAATTGTTTATCCGAGCTCCTAAATTGGGCCACATCGACGCCTTTCTAACAATCAAAATTAAAATATTTGGTCAAATTTGTTTCCTTAGATTAATATTAAATTTATAAATAATGAATAAAAGTTAAATCATTTATTTATAAAAAAATGTCAACGTGGCTAACATCAATTGCTCAGATTAAAATATCTAGTTCGGAGATCTGAACTAAAGACAAGAAGTCGACTCTTATAATTTATATATGTGGGGTGTTTGGATACTGGATTTTCCTTACAAAAAGTAAAAAAAACGACTTAGCGGTTTGTAAGAACTAATAAAAATTAAGGGCAAATTACATATACACCCCTCCAGGTTTGACAAAATTACAGATACCCCTGAGGTTTGAGAAATTACGAATTCCCCCCTGAATGCTATATTTGCATAAGAAATTAGGGGGTAATTTGTTATAAAATATAAACCTCAGGGGGTAAATTGTTATGAAAATACAAACCTCAGGGGGCGGGATGTAATTTCCGAAACCTCAGGGGTATCTGTAATTTAACCAAACCTGGAGGGGTGTATATGTAATTTGCCCAAAAATTAAATGTCACAATCCACTTTTTTTAATTCATACAAACCACTTGGTAGGATTTTTTCATTACAAATAATTTTTTAAACAATTTTCCAGTTATTTTTTTGACTTCTAAAAAAGCCAAAATGTAAACACTAAACAACCACCTAGGTGCCGTTTGGTAACACTTACGTTTTCAGTTTTCTATTTACATTTACAAAAATTTTAAAAATTCAAATAAAAATTTGTTTGGTAAAATTTTTTATTTATAAATCAGTAGTCTCAGTTTATAAATTTGGCCAAAAAATGAAAACACAAAAAATGTGTTTCCGTTTTGAGTTTTCAATTTTTTTTTTTTTACCACCCAACACTAGCCACCACCCATCACCATTTTCCACTACCATCTTCCACCACCACCCACCACCCACCTACCACCCACTCGCCACCACCACCACCCACCCTTCGCCACCACTACCACCCACCCGCCACCACCATTGTTGACCATTCGCCACAAATTTAGGTTTATTTTTCAGTGCTAAATTTATCAATCTATCTTTGTTGTTTGTGTATGTGGAAGATGATGGTAGATTCTTATAAGTGAGTGAGTGAATATGAGTAAGGATGGTGAATATTAATGAATAAATTTACAGTGACAAATTTATTAATCTAGTCAATAAATTTATAGTGAAGAATTCATAGGTAAATAAGTCTAATTAATAGGATAGGCTAGCGCCACCACTTTCCACCACCGTCTTCCGCCGCCACTTGCCACCACTTGCCATTTCTCACCCTTTTTATAGTTTTAAAATTTTTTAAAACATTTTGTGAATTACCAAACACGTTTATAATTTATGTTTTTCTAAAAATAAACAAAAACTAAATAAAAGTCAGTTTATAAAATTTTTGTAAATATAAACTAAAAACGTAAACATTACCAAACACACCTAGAAATCCTGTTTTTGTTTTTTTGTTTAAATAAAAAAATTGAAAACTAATTTGATGAATAAAATATAATAAAAAAATCCATCATTTTTATATAATTTATTATTTTTTGAGGTGAAAATAATTTTTAAAAATTTAAAACTATGCTTTTTGTGATTATTTTTTATCAAGTTAGATTTTTTTTTTAAAATAAAAAATTAATTTTAAAAAAGCAACCAAACTGAATACTCTCACTAGTAGTATTTTTTTGGGGATTCCAAAAAGCCAAAAAGCCCTTCCCAAACCAGGCTAAAATAGCCCAGGCTAAAATAGCCAAAAAGCCAACCCACTTCCCAAACGGAGGCTGAATACTCTCACTAGGAGTAGTATTTTTTTGGGGATTCTAACTTTTTAGTGAGATATGTAATTATTGTTTTGAAATCAAGTCAAAATATATTAATTTATCATATTGTCTCTTTTATTTTCATTATTAAATACATTTATAATTATTTTTAAAGGGTAATTTTGGAATTCTTTAGAGTTTTATTTTTTGACTTCTGAAAATGGACAAATATTTTAAAATATCTAAAAAAAAATGGACAAATATTTTAAAATAGAGATGGAGGGAGTATTAAATTTATAGAGCATTATGCTCTTTGATTAACCTCAAGCAGCACCAAAACCAAAAAGTGAGGTATATGAGAGCAAAAGTTGTTTTAATAAGTCGATTTTTTTTAATTTTTAAATTTTAAAAAAAAAATATGTTAAAAAAAATAAGTCGATTAAAAGTTAATTTTTTTTTTATTTTTAAATTTTAAAAAAAAATATGTTAAAAAATAAATAAATAATGTGATATAAATGTTTCTAAATCAGCCCAAAGTAATTATATTTCTTAATTTTTTAAAAATATTAATTCTATCAAAAATTTTACAATCACTTTGGTGGGGGCCACTGTGGCACTTCATTAGTGATGCTCTAGAGCTCCCAATTTAATGCTCTAAAACATTATTCTAAAATTCATATTATGTAAATCTTACACTCATTTAATTTTTAATTAAAAATACTTGTCCAATCAATAAAACTACGAAGTGTAAAATCAGAAGTGATGAGCTCTACTTACGTGGAAAAAAAAAAAATTTCAAAATCTCCAATACACATCACATCAATAAATAAATAAGCATCCACTAAAACTTGAAAAATGCTTAGAACTACTCATTAGTGTTCCACTAATTAGGTTCCACTAATTAGGTGACAGTGGATTCCGTCATTAATAATGTGATGTTTTGATCTTGAAGTTGTATTTTTTTTTTTTTTTACTTTTTTAATGCATTAGTGCTATTAGTGGTGATGTTTTTAGTGGGATGAATCATTGTTGCTAAAACTTTACCAAATATTTTTATTTAAAATCAAAGGACCATCAATTTCAAGGAAATTTTTTTAAATTTTTTTTAAATAATATTATATGTATCAATTAATATTCATATTAAAATACTAACAAATAATGTGATATTATTTATATAATTTTAAATATTTATAATTTGTATAATAAATGTGAATAATAATAATATTATAACACTAATTGATACATTAATTAGTGCATATAGTATTACTAAATTTTTTTTTTTTCAATATCATTTCAAGGACCCTGCCTAGACAAGGATCGTAATTATTATTATTAAAAAAAAGTGATTAATTAACTAATAACAAGTACCAAAAAAAATTTCTATTCACAAAATAAATAAAAAAACAATTATCAACAGGTTTGTACAAATTTTCAACATCATCAACCTATTAATCAAGTCGTTTTAGTGAAAGCTTTTCAAATAAAATAAATTACAAGTAAAACCCCAATTTTCCAGATGCAATTTTCTCAATTGTGTTGGTCTTAAATCATAAACAAACAACACATACATATGCACAAAATCATCTATTTTATATAGTTGAGTATTGAGAAGAGGAAAACCTGATAGCCATAAGAATCGCCAAAAGAGAGACTGATCTGATCTCTAGTGTACTTCGGTGAAGAACAGCTCGTCGTTATGGTCACCGTGTAAGAACAGTCCGAAGAGCTCTGTTTTTAAAGCCAAATGCAAAATCAAAAAAACATCAACAAATATACATAAAAAACACAAAATATTAAGAAAAATTAAAAATATGAAATAGGGGGATTTGGAGACCTGGGTTTTGTTGATGTTAAAGGAAGATAAAGGTAGAGGCAGACGAATGATAGATCCGCCATGGGTTTTGTTGATGTTGAAGGATTGTTGTAGAGGTATTGGCTGACGAATGATAGATTGGCCATGGGAGGTAGAGAAGAAGAGCACGAAAAAGCAGAGTATTGCTTTTGTGGTCATCATCTTCTCCAAAACCCTCTTGTTTGACTACCGCTCCTCCTCACAGATGGTACGCGAAAGTAAGAGAGAGAGAGAGAGCGCATAGCTGTTCGACTCTCCACCTCTTATATATATATAGAAAATAATCAATCTGCTTAATGAGGTTGCTGACAAAAAAGGGTACTTCGGTCTTAAGCGTTGATTTTTTTTTGTATCTATATAAATAATTTTTTAAAAATATGTTTATTGTTAGATATTTTTGAAGCTTTGCAAGGTTTCATTTAAGGATTTGTTTGGTAATGAGTTATTTTAATTAATTTTTAAATTTTTTATTAAAATATATGTAGAAGATAAAAAAAAAATAATGCGATAATTTATAATGATTTTAAAAAAAATTTAAACTATTTTAAGGATGATTTGAGGATTAACATTTTAATTATTTTATTACATACTTTGTAATGATTTTTAAAAAATTTTAAACTATTTTAAGGATGATTTGAGGATTAACATTTTAATTATTTTATTACATTGCTGGTCTAGAGTTTAGTCATTCTTCAAACAAGACATAAGTCTCATAAAAATGCCTAAGGTCCATGGGCCGACTTGAACCAAGACCAGCCCATCAACTGATGGCACGCCCTTAAAAATATAAACTAATCTTGGGTCGGGAGATAAGGCCCATGGGTCAGTCCAATACGCTTTGCAAAGTCCGGTTCATAGGCTCGACCCATAAGTCTATTGTAGACATCACATTTTAACCTACTGTAAGACTTGGACGCTTTCTTTTGATTACCCCGATGATGAAAATCAGAACGTATTTCTTACAAAATTCTCAGTAAAAAAAAAAAAAAAAGAATTTGAGTTTTACTCTCTACCCTAAGCCCACGTTGGTCAAATGTTTAGGTCTTGTTGGACACCTGGAGCAAAATGGGGCTAAGCTGGAGCGAAACAGAACAAAATGGGCAAACTTTCCTCTAGCCAGTCAACCTCTCCAAAATAGTGTTGTCCAGTTTTTGTGTTGGTTTGGATGGGGCACTTAACAACCTATTTTTTTGATATATTCATGCATTGAATGCATGTATACTCCTCATCCATTGCCTAGTGCTTAATCCATTGAAGGTAATACTCCACTTTTGTCTTCCATTAGCTCCATTAATAATTCATTAGTGCTCTATTTGCTCTATTATCTTCATTAATGCTTTATTCTTGTCTCTCACAATTTCTCCACTTACATTGCCTATATGTATACATCAAATTGTAGAGAAGAGGAGGAGAAGGGGGATAGATTGGGTAGAGAAGGCTAGAGATAGAGAATAAGAGTCTAAGTTTTGATCAAGAAAGGTGTCAAAATTGAGAAGTTGAGCAGTGAATTCCATTACACTGTTATATCATCCTTATCCACTGTTATTTGATCCAAAAAATTCCATTATAGTCAACTTGTGTAGCTTTGATCAAGGAGTGTTCAGTTTGTGTAGAAAGTGAGAAAATTAGAGTGAATTGTAAAATCTGGGTCTTTACCGTCTTCCCCCACACACACTGTTAAACAATCCAAAATTGTCATTCTAGCTAAAATTCTAAATTTTCGAATGGAGGATTGAGAACATAATTCATAACCTTAAGGGTGATCAAAAGGGAATTTGGAAATCGAGAAGTTTTTCTTTCTTTGGAAGGTGAATTTTCAATTTCTCTCATTTTCTTGCATTTTCTATCTTATATTTGTTTTGTTACTTTAAATTCATATCAGTTTTGTTGTAATCTAACCGGAAGTGGTTAATTGAGCCATCTATATATTCCTTGTTTGTTATTTTCTCAGTGTTGCAATAAGATAGGTGCTTAGTTGGCCAACCAACTAACTTCTTTTGGACAGAACGGCGTAGTCTTCCGACGTTAAGCATACCAATTTCTGGTGGTCTCCAAAGCGCATGAAACTTCAATTTTGTTTTCATTTGAGTGTTTTGTGAGTTGTTTTAAAATTTTCCTCCTCTATCTCTCATTTGGTTTGTAATTATATGTTCAAATATTATAACAATTTACTGCCCTGCTTTTCTCTATCTCATTCTTTTACTTGTTTTCCTTATTTGTATATAAACATTTTATTTTGTGTTTTCATCATATTCATACTTTGCATCCATGTTTTATGCATCTTGATTCGGCTAAATTTGTATTTATGGATTTAATCGATTATTATGTGATTATGTGCGTTACCTTATGTCCTTGAGATGATTCACATGTCATATATTAGAAGCCGAATCTTTAGCTGTATATCATGAGTGAATTAAATTAGGATTTATATAAGATTATGCATATTTCGCTAACTTTGTTTTGTAACTGTTCGCGAGACGTCAGTAAACATGTAAGTTTTTAAGTTTTAGCATCCTGCTTGTGTATGTTTTTCTTATTATGTTTAGTATTTTACCATGAGGTTATGTGCTTACTTGATATAACTGTATGAATGCCGGTGGATGGATGTTGTGTTGTGTAGCTTAATTTGGAATGATGTTGATTTTTCATATTTGTAAACTCAATTTCTTTAGGTTGTGCATCTTCAATTATTTCAAAACACATGAAATCAAATTGTTCCAAAATGAATGACATAGTCTATACTTGTATACTTCGCATAGTAACTTGTAGGATTTATTAATAATCAAAATATGAACATATAAAGTCAATAATACTCATATCATGATTTAGTAGAGGCCAATCTTTGATCGGATGAGCGGAGGTACTCAATTAATGACCTTCCCCTCTCATACCTAAGGTTCCGAGCCAAGCATTTTTGGTTATGACGAACAATGGCCTTGGCACGACTCATGAGTTTCCTAATTTTCTCAAAAATATTAGGTGGCGACTCTAAGATTTGGTGAAATGGTCCATTTTTTGTAAAGATTTTGTTTTAAAACGAATTTTTCTATAAAAGTATCTAAATCTGAACACTTATATATGTTTCACATTGCACTCATGAGACTAGATCAAAAAAATCGAGAGTCCAAACTGTTTAACCCGTACGGGTATCCCCAGACGATGTTAGACCTATGTTAATGGCCCATTTGAGTCTTGTTACCGTTAAGAGTTTTTATTACTTTTGGTGATATTATTTATTTATTTCATTACTTTTTAATGTGTACATAATTTATTTGGATAAAAATTGTAAATGACTGACAAGTTTGTATGTGTTAACCTAGTTGAGATACACTTATCTTGTAGTAATGCAATCCATCTCACTTTTCCTTTCAATTTAGTAACACTATGAATGTAATTTTGTATTTTAGTTAAATTAATAAAGTTCAATTTTAATTTTTTTTATTATCAAACATGTAAATATAATTGTTAAAGTGCCTTTAAAAATAGGGTGCTCAGACCATAAATCCAAATTTAATTTCTTTTTTTCAAAAGTCTATGCGCGAAAATAGTATATCCATAAAGACATACTTTTACGAAATGGCCAAACTACCCATTCACCTGTTGGTCACGGTACTATAAGGATTACCAATCCATTTTTTTTTTTTTTTTTCCATACTCTCTCTATTTGTCTCCAATTTTTTTCCCCTTTTACTCACTCACTTTCTCTCTCGCTTACACACACACACACACACACTCTCTCTCTCTCTCTCTCTCTCTCACTCTTCACTGCACTTACGTATTCTGTCTTTATTGATCAGCTTACTTTCTAGGGTTTCATTCTCTCTCTCTCTCCCCTTGTATTAACCCTAAATCTTTCTCTCTTATCTTCACTCTTGTCCTTCTAAAAAAATGTCCAGTTTCATCAACCTAGCTTCATTATTAAGGCAATATCGACGTGGATGGCAATACCGTCGGAGGCGAAGTGGACCACCGACGAAGGTCTATTCCTTCTCTTTCAACAAATGTGACAATGACGACGTTCTCTTCACCATCGCCTCCTGCACTAACGTGTCGTACTTTCTAGTCATCTCTCTCTTCCTCTGCACAGCCTTTAAGAATGACCTGACAGTCGATAGAACGGGGTTAGAATACACCATGTAAGGGGCACTGTTGTTGGCGTTTTGAAGGATTCCATTGGTGGGTGACGGTAGTGGTGATAATGATCTTCTTATTCATTTATTACATCTCTCTCTCTCTCCTCCCATCTTTCTCTCTATGAATATATGTGTATATCACTTTGCTTTGCCTTAATTTGTTGTTTTATGAATATCAGACATATGTATATATCATAGATTTGTGTTGAAATCCAAAGTTGAATTTGAATAGATCTGTGGTGTTGAGAGATAACACCTATTGTGACACAAATCTGTTCAAAATTTCAATAGACAAGGAAAAAAATTGAACAAACAGTAGAAAAAATTAAACAGATAGATACAAGTTTAAACAAATAGGTTAAAAAAAATGAACAGATAAAACAAATTTCAACAGATAAGTTAAAGGGTAAAATTAAAAATAAAATATCCTCAAAAATAATAAAATGTACTTCTCACCACAATAGTTTACAAAGAGTGTACTTCTCACAAAATAAATAAATAAATAAAATTAATGAGACCTCATACCTTACACCTAGATGAGTTGAGCCGAGCTGAGTCTTAGTATGTTTGGGCTTGTTTGTTAAGATTTTAACGAACTTAAGTTTGAGTTCGAACTCAATAAAAATTTAACGAATCGAGCTCGAGCCTGTTCACGAGTCTTAATGAGCAAAAAAATTTATAAATTCATACCTGTGTATGAGGCTAAAGTTACAATTAAAACTTTGATTATACAATTATAGATACAATATATATAAAAACATTCTAAAAAAAAAATTCAATATTATTAAAATAATAATATCTACTAGTACTACTATTATATAAATATATAATTTATAGTTAACTATTATTTACATATATATGTTTTAAATATATAAATAACATATTTATCTTATTTTTTATATGTATATTTTTACATCATTTAATATATAAATAATAAATATTAAACGAGTTAGGTAACGAGCCGAGTTTACGAGCCGAACTTTAGAATGTTTGGGCTTATTTATTAAAAATTCAACGAGCTCAAGTTCGAGCTTGAACGCAAAAAAAATTTAAAAAATCGAGTTCGCACAAGCTCTTATCGAGTCGAGTTCGAACTTGTTCACGAACGGCTATACTCA